GCTAAAAGTCAAAGTTGCTGCAATTGTCCATTATTCATATTCTTTGATTCCAGAAACTCAACAGCTAAATTTAGGATTCAAGAATTTTAATCAACTCAATTCAGGTGCTAAGAAGTAATATTCCACTTGCATCTTTCAGGTAGTCTGTTTCACTTTTATTCTTAAATATTACATTTTACATTCCATGGTAATCTTTAAATTACTTCAGAACTTATTTGAAATGCATAGGGCACAGAGTCAATTTAAAAAAAAGCCGTGATCTTCTTTTTCAGAAGAGCTGTATATGTAACTCTATCGCATCTTTTAGTATTCATGGTGATAAAGTGTAGACTAATTTATGATCATCTCAATGTAGAAAATGAACCAATATCCATACAATATAGAGTCAAAATCATTTTACAGCTATTTTTAATCTAAAAATCTCAATTTTGAACAGAGATTTTTTTTATCATCAACCTTTATCCTTCTTTTTGATGAAATGGGGTAAAAGCTGAAAAAAGATAATTGAAAAAACAGTTAAAAATGACTTAGTTATACTGATCCAAATAGTCAGCCTGCTATCAAGGTTTGCTGCTGAATTTTTTTCCATTACCTGTCATCAAGAAGTGGAGAAGTATGGTCCCTATAAATTATGTTGCAGAGCTATTGCAGTAGAAAAATGGCAGCCATTATTTTATCAAATTACTTTTTATCTACAAGACTGCTCTCCTTGCTGCCATGATATTGTAAATTAAGTGGCAGTGTTTGAAAAAGAGAGTTGTTACTTAGTTTCTAATCTCTACTGCTATCGGTTTCTAATCTCTACTGCTATCGGTGACAGAATAACTTTGTCTTTTAAGTAAATCCTGTAAGACCCCCCTGAGTACTTTGTGGTCTGGGCTACTGTACTTGTTTGGTGCTAATACATTCTCATGATAAAAGTAAATTTAAAGGAATGTTTTATTTCATTAGTATTACGGGGCTATGAGTTAGCCAAGAGGTATTATGAACTTGAAGAATGGTTAATTTAACATATAGTACTTAAATCTCTTGATATTCCAGGTTCCAACTGCAATTTCTTCATTGAGCTAAAATTGTAACCTCCGACATAGGCTTTTATATGTTGCAGTGTTTTTCATAAATGTTATTCAGATATGGATGGGATTGTGGTTTGGCAGAAAAAAAAAAGCAAACCCTAATACATGTTTAGGGTCTATGACATATTAGGTGTTTTATCTTGACCAGTGCTTATGATTCTGTACCTTATGGATATCTGGTAACTATAGGTATTATTACATTTATTTTATTTTTATTTATTTATTTTTAATTAATTAATTTATTTATTTTTGGCTGCGTTGGGTCTTCGTTGCTATGCCCAGGCTTTCTCCAGTTGCGGTGCGTGGGGGCTACTCTTCGTTGCGGTGCATGGGCTTCTCATTGCGGTGGCTTCTCTTGTTGCAGAGCACAGGCTCTAGGCATGCGGGCTTCAGTAGTTGTGGCATGTGGACTCAGTAGTTGTGGCTCTTGAGCTCTATAGCACAGGCTCAGTAGTTGTGGTGATGGACTTAGTTGCTCTGCGGCATCTTCCTGGACCAGGGCTTGAACCCGTGTCCCCTGCATGGACAGGTGGATTCTTAACTGCTGCGCCACCAGGGAAGCCCTACATTTATTTTATAGATAAACGTTCACCAAATCATATAACTTCAAGAAAGAAGAGTCAAGCCTGGTCAGAATCTAAAGCTATGTTTTTGTACTACGTCATATTATTCGCACACATTTTTTATATTGGGAACTATGAGAAAGGCAAGGATAATTTTATCTATTTAGTATGAGGAGAAGAGGATTGAACATGCTTTAAGAAGATGTAATGTTTAGGAGGCAAGATGATGTGTAGAAATAGTCCTGAAACTGAAGTTTTGGAACTCATCCTTGATTCAGGCACTAAATAACTATATGGGTGAACGAATAATTTAACTAAAAAAAGATCCCATTTCCTTCTATGTAAAATGAAGGAGTTGGTTTCAATATTTTAAGTTCTCTTCTATGCCTTACTTACTTTGATTCTGTGATGTTGAAAGATTACTGCCTTAACTATCTCGATTTTAGGTGAAGAGAGAAGATTCCTTAGAATGAATTTATGAAAGGTACAAAGGGAATTCTTGTTTACTTAAAGGAAAGGTTATAATCAGAGGCCATGGAAACACCATCTTTAGGATTTTTAAGAATTTGAAGGACCACTTTATTGGAGTGCCTTGAGAATGAAAAAAAATCACTCATCAACAAATACACTTTTGAGTCCTTTATGTGTGCGAAACACTATGGAAATGTATAAGATATAACTACTACCTTCAAGGAGACTTTGATCTAGTGGGGGAGATAGCTGTGTAAACACTAGCAGAATATAGTATTTGTACACTACTGTACAATAGGATCTAATCTTACTGAAGTAGTCAAAGAAATGATTTAGAAACCCAACAGTAATTCAGAAGAGCTCTCTCTTTACTTAATATTTGCTTCAACCACATGAAAAGCATTACATAACCTAAAGCAATACTTTAAATACTTCTTTTGTCACTCATCCATTTTCCTCACACAATCCCAACTCTGTGCCTCTTTCTTCTCAAAGTTTTGCCACATTACACCCCCGCACATCTTGTGTTTTTCTCTCTTCTTTCTCCTCGTTCTCTCTTAATGTACTGCTTTTGAAAGACAAAATCCAGAGGAACCAATCTGGCAGGAGAAAATCCATCTCTGAAAGCAGAGAAGGAAAAGACCAAGCCAGCAAATGGAGAACATGCCTACAAGGGTCTCTGAGAGTCACAGCCTGGCTTTTCTAGCTTGCTTTCCTCCCCTTCCCTTCCCTTTCTCTTTGGTACAGAATTTCTTCCTGTGGAAAACGTGTATTGGGTAGTTTGTGGGGCTAACACCATCACAAACTAGCCACAGAGATAGACGGGCTCCAGGATTGGCCATCAGACTCCCTCATTCCCATTCAAGGACATACACATGTCCAAAACTGTGTCAGTCAGATGCCCTCCAGGGGATTGGTTGTAGACTCTTTTCTTCCTTTGTGTATCACAAGCTGTAAAGATCATAGTGTGGAATTGCCAGCATTTGTTTCCCCTTCTTCCCTTGGTTGGATTCAATAGGCTGCCCGAAGAATGAAGCTGACTAAGGAGGAGGGCAGAACTGGAAAATGGGAAGAAAAATAAACCACTGGCAGCCTGAGCCTCTAGGTCTAACAGTGTCTGAGGCTGATGCACCCCTGAATTTTCCACTTACATGAACTAATAAGTCCCATCTTTTTTTCTTTTCACTTAATTTAAGTTGATTTTTTCCCTCTTGAAATGAAAAGAGCTCTGTCTAATGTACATCTATAGCAGTATTTGTGGGAATAGTCACATATTAATAATCGTTGTCCAGTCATACTTCCTGTGGGTTAGTCCATATAGGGGGTAACAAAATATTAGTCCAGAGCACCTAAATATTTTCATATCTCAAGTTCCCATCCTACTTGCTTAGTTAGTAGGGCTCTGTTTACAGTTCAGTGTCTCCTCTCCCTTTTCCTATGTTGAGATTGTATATAATACCTCTCAGGTTCCTCTGTAGGTGCTATGAAGTAAACCCCACCTTAGTTCATTGCAGTACCTTCTTCAAGACCTTGGGACTAGGGGATGGTTAACTTCTCAAAGAGCAAACTGGCATTCTTGGTATTTAATCCCCTCTCCTCATGACCAGTATTTTAACTCTGGAGATGAAAAAGGAACATGGGAAAGCCCTCTTTGACACAGTAAAGCAAGAAACAAAGGCTTCCTTTGGAATATATTCCAATCACACTGGCTCTGCAATCCTCTGGGAGAGGATGATGGGGTAACTATATCCTTCCCACTTACGACCTGCTCTAATTTACTAGAACCAAATTCAGAAGCTGCATCTTAACCAAGGTCCCCAGGCTTACTTTAGAGGGCTCCCTGACCATGATTAGAGGAACCAGCTTATCTCTACCTGCTGAGAGCTCGTCTTCAAGGGAAGGAGATACACCTTCTTTACTTCCAGCTTCCAAGACCACTCAAAGGGTGACTTGGCTGAGCTTCATCGGTCTGGCTATCCAAAAATGAGCTAGCTGTCTCCTCAGTTCTCATTAGATTCAGTATTCAGAGCTAATGAATGTTTTTAGCTTGAGTTTCCGGAAGATTTGTGATGTCATTTGTGTGAAATAGAAAATATAAGAGATAGTGTAACTTGTTTTGGGGGCTGAGACAGGGATAATTTTATCTTGGGGCAAGTGGAGTGTGAGTTATCAGATAGGTGTGCATGTGGGAATGCCTTGCCAGGGGCTGGGAATGCTGGTCTGAAATTCAGTAGAGAGGCTGTAAGTTGCAGTGAAGAGAGGGAGGGAGACACTGCTGAGGGAGGAAACGATTATAAGAGAAGGAGAGCATCAGATGAGCATCATTGTGACGCCAGCCAGTGATCCTCAGACCAGGGTACAAAGAGACTTTCCACGGGGTATACTGGTGATTCGTTTTACAGGAACCATCTTCCAGAGAATTGCCTTCATGTGTGCTGTTTTCTAAAACTGATTTACCTGAGCAGTTATCTGAGGTAGATACTCCCTTTGCCACCTGCCCTTCCACAAAACCTTTTTGCCCATGTTGCCAAAGAAGAGCCTTCACCCATTAGGAATCTTATTTTGAGACTTGACCTTGGGACTTCAAAGCCTGCAGAGCAGCAGGCAGAGGGACTGTTCAATGATTCCTCTAATCGAGACATGATAAATTTCTTCTTCTCATTAAGATGTATAGACCCAATAAAGTTTTCCTTTTTGTATTTATTTTACTTTCTCTCTATATACTTTCTATATTTGTGTTCACCTTTTAAATTTATATATGTTATTATATAGATTATTTTTGTTAATTTTATATCAGTACTAATTTAATGAATTATTAATTCAAAGAAAATGTATAGTCTTGTGTTAATAGAATATTAAAAATAAATTCCTATATTTTGTTGCAGAGGGCTATAATAAGGAGATAATGAACAACTTTCAAGTATAAAAGTATATATAAAGATCACATGCTGTGGAGACACAGGAAGAGAAATACAGATTTGAGGAGAAAAAGAAACACAGAATTCTCAGGACCTACAAAGAAAAATATTTGTACTACTTGAACGTTATTGATGCAAGCTATTGGTATGTCTTTTTTTTTTTTTTTTTTTTTTTTTGCGTTACGTAGGCCTCTCACTGCTGTGGCCTCTCCCGTTGCGGAGCACAGGCTCCAGATGCGCAGGCCCAGCGGCCATGGCGCATGGGCCCAGCCGCTCCGCGGCATGTGGGATCCTCCCGGACCAGGGCACGAACCCGTGTCCCCTGCATCGGCAGGCGGACTCCCAACCACTGCGCCACCAGGGAAGCCCTATTTGTATGTCTTTGACATTAATGTGAGCAGTGTCCCAGTGACAAATGTCTTACAGGAAGCTAAGTGTTTAGATTCTTAGACTCCAACTGGCTTCTTAGAATCTAATATAGAGCCTTAATTTATAAATTTATTCTTTTGTAGCTCCTTTAGGGCTCCCCTTGGGAAAAACTCAGGGGCCTCAATGGTCATCTTGTTCAATCACTTTAGATCGTGAATAATCTTTTCAGTCATCTGAAAAAGTTATTTCATCTTTCCTTCTGTCTCTTCATCTGTCCTTTCCTTCACCCCCTTCCTTCTTTGCATGAACACAGTTATAAAATGAAAATTTTTATACTAAGGATTTATGATAAGTGCTGGGGATATATGACTGGTGAAGAAAATGACAAGTTCCTGACCTCTCTGAGCCAGTGGGAAATACAGCCAATGGAATAAGCATTTTTGTAAAGTTCAAGGGCTGTAACCAAGGAAGCACAGGATATTATGGTAAGAACAGATAAGAAACATGTTACTTTATCAGTGAATGTTTCTAAGAATGTGTCATTTAAGTTCACTCACTATTTTGTCATTTTGTTCTTTCTTGCCCAGTCCTGTTCTATTGAGGATCAAGACAGATAAACTTGCAGGGCTCATAGAACCTACATTCTATTGAAAAGGTAGAGACAGAGAAAACAGACAACAGAGGAAATGAATAGGATATGTTTCAGATAATGATGAATGCTATGTAGAAAAGCAGGGTGATTCATTCATTCGTTATATTAAAATTTAATGAGTGCCTAGTATTTTCTTGGCACTGCTCTAAGTGCTGAGCATACAGTCTCTTCTCATGGAGTTTACATTTATTTTTATTAGGGGAGAGAAATAATACGCAGGCAAAAATGTGTAGTAGGAGGTCAGATAGTGATAAGGATTATAAACTGAAATGATAAAAGAGAAAGGGAAAGAGAAAGTGTGTGGAGAGGTCTGGTTTTTTTTTAACATCTTTATTGGAGTATAATTGCTTTACAATGGTGTGTTAGTTTCTGCTGTATAACAAAGTGAATCAGCTATACATATACATATCTCCCCATATCTCCTCCCTCTTGTGTCTCCCTCCCACCCTCCCTATCCCACCCCTCTAGGTGGTCACAAAGCACCGAGCTGATCTCCCTGTGCTATGGTGGCTGCTTCCCACTAGCTATCTATTTTACATTTGGTAGTATATATAAGTCCATGCCACTCTCTCACTTCATCCCAGCTTACCCTTCCCCCTCCCCATGTCCTCAAGTCTATTCTCTACATCTGCATCTTTATTCCTGTCCTGCCCCTAGGTTCTTCAGAACCATTTTTTTTTTCAGATTCCGTATATATGTGTTAGCATACAGTATTTATTTTTCTGTTTCTGACTTACTTCACTCTGTATGACAGTCTCTAGGTCCATCCACCTCACTACAAATAACTCAGTTTCGTTTTTTTTTTATGGCTGAGTGAGAGGTCTATTTTTGATAGATGCTGGTGAGGGAAATATCCCAAGGCAGTGAGAATTGAGCAGAATTTTGAATGAAGTGAGGCACCAACTCATGTAAATATCTGGGAAAATTTTGTTCCAGGTAGAGGAAGCTGCAAGTGAAAAGACTGTGAGGCCAAGAACATGCAAAATATGTTCAAGGAACAGCAAGAAATCTGGCATGGCTGGAGCAGAGAGAAGCACTGATAGAGAGCAGCTGAGGATGGAGGCAGCCAGAGGTCAGACCACGAAGCTTTGTAGATCATGGTGAGGAGGATTTTGTTCTAAATGTGATCAGAAGCCACTGGAGGATTTGAGCAGGGAGTGAGGTGGTCTGGTTTATGTTTTAAAAAGATCACTGTGATTTTGTTCCTTTTGTTAGTTTATATGAGCTTGAGGGTGACTTTAGCTTGGTTCATCTGAGAAGGATATTTGAGCTGGATACCAAAGCTGTGATCTGAAGGACAAGAAGAACTTACCCAGACATTGAGGAGAAGTCATCGTGCTGTATGTAAAGACACTAATGAGAGCTGAAGTCTGAAGGTGAGTGAAGCATGTCCTGTTCAAGGATCTGGGAAATGTTCATTTGGGCTGAAGTCCAGAGTACAAAGGCAGGACTGTGAAAGAGGAGATTGAAAATGTATAGTGGTGAGGGTGGAGTTTTGATTTTATCCTAAAGATAATGGACTGTTTTGAAGACTTTTAGGTAGGGGAATATCAGAGCAGTTCTGTATTTTGAATGGTTTTCTTTGGCTGTTGGAGAGGAACTGGAGATGGGAGATCAGGTAGGAGGAAGGTGCAGAAGTAGCTCAGGTGAAGGGGTGGATTATGGTCAGACTTTGTGTGAACATTTCTTGGAGCCGCTATTAATTTTGGAAAACTGTGATTGTTGAATAGGTCTTGCCTATACGGAGTCAATCCACCATCTTGGAACATCCACCAATTTATCTTAGATTTTTCTCTTGTCACACGGGACAAATTTAATTCTGTTTCTGTATGACAGTCCTTCATATTTTTGAAGGCAGCCATTAGTGTCTCCTTTTTCCATATTTCTTTCCATCATGTGGGAGTTTTTTCTTGTGCGTGAATGTCCCAAATTTCTTCAACTCGTGAGAGTTGAGTGTGCCCCACGTGACACAGCTTTTTGTTCCTTCTCAATATTCTGTTCAGTTTTATCTTGATCGATTCTTGTCGGTTAGTGACCCTCTCAGGGTGTGCTACCCTACTTTTACCAGCATAGTAAAGGGGGCAATTATTTCTTCCCTTTTTATGATCATTATATTTTACAAATAATAACTATTCTCAAAAATAATAAAATAATAATTTCTCAGAAACTTTTCTAGTGCTTGTACAATATTACTGAGCTTCTCAGTCAACTAAAATCCTCATTTTCTTTTCAATTATGTTACCATTAAACTTGAGTCTGGCTGTGTGATAAATAGATGCAGGGCACCAGGGTGGACATGGTGTCCAAAAGGTGGCTTTTATACAATATAATCAGATGAGAGAAGGTAGAAGCTTTATCTAGGGTATTAACAATAGAAATGGAGAAAAAGTGGTTGAATTTATGTACATTTTGAAGGAAAATCCAGTCCATATTTTGTGTCCCCTGGAAAATGTAAGTAATCAATGGTATGAAGTGTCTGTCTTTGCTGTATTGTCTCAGGTGACTGGCTCATATTCAGTCCCTATCACATGGTTCAAGTCGAAACCTTTAATTTTGTGCATATTTTACATGTACTATTATACATGACTACAGTTTTCAGAATAATTGACTCCTGTGATAGGCTGCAAGTATGTAACTTTAAAATACCAGGTATATGGTTAGATTTTATTTCATTTCACCTTTGTTTTATTGATCTAAAATATGTCATATTATGAGACTATTACTGTCAACTTCAAATTTCATTAGATCACTCATATTATAATAGAAGACACTGAGGGGCTGGCTGTGCTTTGTGTCTTTTATAGGATTCATAGGAAATGTCATTACGATTATGTCTTTTTGCTAAATGGGATTTGTAAGAACTGCTTCACATTTATAGAGAAGATGACAGCCCCCTCCCATCTGAGACTTAACCTCTCAGCTCCATTCAAAGTGCCTATGAATCCTGGCACTTTTGCTCCACAGATACTCATTTCTTTAATTCACTGTGATCTCAGAATTTGGTGTTCTATCTGCAAGTCCTGGTGAGACAATGTCAGCTTGTCTTGTGCCAATTTATCTACACATTGAATGACAGCTTTGCTGTCTCTGAATGGTAGCAGGATGAGAGGTCATTCTACCTGGCTGTGCTGCCAACTGAAATGCTTAGTGTGTTTTCAAATTTGGGGTTATTAGAGCCAAAGAAACTTTATAAATTACCTTGTCTGTTCTCTTACCTCATAAATGTGGAAAATGAGAGTAGAATAGCTAAGAAGAAAATGCTCTTTCTTTTTCTCTCTTTTCAACCATTATTACAGACAAGGAGATGTACCTTAAAAAAGCCATTATCTGGAGTTGAAGAGTGAATACTTTAACAAGAAATCTTGTCAAAATATGATAGCAGTCATTCTGGGGTCAAAGTCATGGTGTCCGAAATATGGCATGTGAAATTATCTTCAGAGCAACAGCCTGAGGAACAGCTAAGGGATGTGTCCCTTGTAGGTGGATATGTCTCCATCTTAACCTGAACAACACTCATATTAAAGAGAGAAGAAAGTAGTTCCTTGTTTCTTCTTGGAGGGCAAATCATTTTAGCTACTCAGAATTATTTTTAAAGGGCTATCCTATTAATAACAGTCAATAAAAGTCTGGGGGATAAAAGCAAGATTAGTAACCAGTTAATGCAAGGGGAAGAGAGTGTGTAATAACATCTTTCTCCAGTGGGATACTGACACTTAAACTCACATCATGCCTTAAAGCAGTTCATACATGCCTTCTTTTTAGTCACCAGCTGAGCACTGGTTATATTTTCTCAGATATTTCTAAGCTGTGAGAAGTTGCTGCCTAAAAGGAAATCTAGGGGCTGTTCTTAGGATGAGGTGAAAATTGATTCTGAGAGGGAAAACAATGGATATTCTCTATAATAGGGTGAGTGGTTTGGGCAAAGAGATTCTCTGAGGGCTCCTTTATGATTGAACCAAAGCTTATCTACAGACCAAGTTTGCTTTCGAAACCAAGATATTATAGAAAGAGAGGTGGAGCGAAACAACAAACCTTTTTCAGTATCTGGGACTTCAATTCCTGGTTTTTTATATCTTAAAACCCACATTTCTTGGTCAAGGTCTAAATCTCTTTCTAGGGACTTCCCTGGTGGTCCGGTGGTAAAGAAGCTGCCTTCCAATTCAGGGGACGTGGGTTCAATCCCTGTTCGGGGAACTAAGATCCCACATGCCGTTGGGCAACTAAGCCCACATGCCACATCTACCGAGCTCGCGCTCCTCAAGGAGAGAGCCCGCATGCCGCAAACTACAGAGCCCACGCGCCACAATTACAGAGCCCACCCACCCTGGAGCCTGCGCGCCACAACTAGAGAGAGAAAACCCGCACACCACAACTAGAGAGAAGCCTGCGCACCACAATGAAGAGCCCGCACTACAACGAAAGATCCCGCGTGCCGCAACTAAGACCCAACGCAGCCAAAAAAAGAAAGAAAGAAAGAAAGAAAGTAAATAAATCTCTTTCTGGAATAGTCCTTTTCACATTTCTACCTGCATGCTGTCCCTGCAGTGTGGGCCTCTTGCTGCATGCTTCGTGGTGCATGTACAGACTTCTAGACAAAGAGAGAGGCTCAGAGAGAGACACTGAAGCAGACGTCTGAGACAGTTTTCACCATTTGTCCTTGAACCTCGTGGACAGTGTTGTATATTCCCACAGGAGTGTGTGTTTATGGGGAATATTGCCTACAAGATGGTGTATCACTATACCGTGTACGTGGGAGAACATCTTAGAAGAAAATAAAATTCTCTGCTCTTCATGATGATCAGGCTTAAGGGAGAGTGTGAGGGTGTGAGTAGGAGAGAGATGGAATGAAGAGGGATAATAAGAAACAGGGAGACCAAATAGTTAATTGCTTCCCAAAGTGTGATTAAATGGGTCACCAGAATTTGAAGCATCTGCAGAGGATGAAGTAATTTGTTAATAATGAAGATTCTAGGGCTTCCCTGGTGGTGCAGTGGTTAAGAATCTGCCCGCCAACGCAGGGGACACAGGTTCGAGCCCTGGTCCGGGAAGATCCTACGTGCCACAGAGCAGCTAAGCCCGTTGGCCACAGCTACTGAGCCCGCATACCACAACTACTGAGCCCGCGTGCCACAACTACTGAGCACATGCACCTAGAGCCTGTGCTTCGCAACAAGAGAAGCTACCGCAATGAGAAGCCTGCACAGCACAACTAAGAGTAGCCCCCGTGCAGCAACAAAGACCCAGCACAGCCAAAAATAAATAAATAAAATAAATAAATTTATTAAAAAAAAAAGACTCCAGGCAACCAAACAGTATTTCTGAGTAAGGGGCATAAAAATCTGCATTTTTTTAACATGCACATCAAGTGGTCCTTATATAAAAAAGTTTTAGAATCATTGAGTTTGGAAGTTAATATAATTGTGAAGGTGAGAGTTGAGGCCATAGATCAAGAGAGGATAAAAGAAATTTTTGGTTGGTAAAATATACAGAACTTGATAATTGTGTGGCAGCGTGAAGAGAGGTGAATCTAGGATGATTCTCACAGGTGTTTGGTTACCTGGTAGATGATTGTATCATTACTCTGATTAACTGGAACCTAGAAAAAAGGACTAGGTTTGAGAAGGTGGATGAGAAACTTTGGGCTTTGATTATGAGTTTAAAGTGTTTATGAGGCAACTTAAAATTTTTTTTGCAGTAGAGATAACCATATAGACTTGTAGTTTGGTGGAGCAATCTGGGTTAGAAAGATAGATTTAGTGGTTATCAGAATACAAGAGGAAGTTGAATCTATTGGCACGACTGAGATTTCCCAAAGAGAAAATGTATCAGGAGAGAAAGCCTGGGGTGGAGTCAAGACCCAGGGACCATTGCTAACAGGATCATGTGATCAGGAAGCTGGCTGTTGAATTCCTTTCCTCAGAGATAGAAGACTTCTGACAGGTTGATAAGGCTCATTACATGATCTTAAAAGAGCAATATCGAAGAGGAGTGAAGGTAAAGGCAACAACAGTTGCCCAGGTCAAGAGATTAAGAGGCTGTCCATTTATATTAGTGTCCCTCTGGATAAAAGCTGGATGTGATTTAAATGATCTAGATGGTAACATCTGCAACGTATGTGCAGTGAATTGAAGTGGCACCACTAGATAGGGGAGAAGTTAGAGTTGTTTGACGGTATGAAAATAAAAGGAGGAATGTTTTCTTTTCACACTTGAGTGGAGTGAATTAATATGGAAGTGCCAGTGGGATGCCAAAAAAATGTGTATGCCATCTCCTTCTCCTGGTGTATGTGGGTCATCATCATGTGGGCATCTTCCATCCAGAAGAGTTGGAAGAAAAGCCCTATCCTAAGAGAAGACTTCTGTTTTTATTTAAGCAC